TGTTATATAGGACAGAGAACAGCTTGTCCTGCCACAGAAACACAATGTTATATAGGACAGAGGCCAGCTTGTCTTGCCACAGAAATATAATGTTATATAGGACAGAGAACGGCTTGTCCTGCCACAGAAACACAATGTTATATAGGACAGAGGCCAGCTTGTCCTGCCACAGAAACACAATGTTATGTAGGACAGAGAACATCTTGTCCTTCCACAGAAACACAATGTTATATAGGACAGAGGCCAGCTTGTCCTGCCACAGAAACACCATGTTATATAGGACAGAGGCCAGCTTGTCCTGCCACAGAAACATAATGTTATATAGGACAGGGGCCAGCTTGTCCTGTTACAGAAACATAATGCTATATAGGACAGAGAACAGCTTGTCCTGCCACAGAAACACAATGTTATGTAGGACAGAGAACAGCTTGTCCTGCCACAGTAACACAATGTTATAAAGGATAGAGACCAGCCTGTCCTGCCACAGTAACACAATGTTATATAGGACAGAGAACAGCTTGTCCTTCCACAGAAACACAATGTTATATAGGACAGAGGCCAGCTTGTCCTGCCACAGAAACACAATGTTATATAGGACAGAGAACAGATTGTCCTGCCACAGAAACTTAATGTTATGAGGGATAGAGACCAGCTTGTCCTGCAACAGTAACACAATGTTATATAGGACAGAGAACAGCGTGTCCTTCCACAGAAACACAATGTTATATAGGACAGAGGCCAGCTTGTCCTGCCACAGAACACAATGTTATGTAGGACAGAGAACAGCTTGTCCTGCCACAGTAACACAATGTTATAAAGGATAGAGACCAGCCTGTCCTGCCACAGTAACACAATGTTATATAGGACAGAGAACAGCTTGTCCTGCCACAGAAACATAATTTTATAAAGGATAGAGACCAGCCTGTCCTGCCACAGAAACACAATGTTATGTAGGACAGAGAACATCTTGTCCTTCCACAGAAACACAATGTTATATAGGACAGAGGCCAGCTTGTCCTGCCACAGAAACATAATGTTATATAGGACAGAGAACAGCTTGTCCTGCCACAGTAACACAATGTTATATAGGACAGAGAACAGCTTGTCCTGCCACAGAAACACAATGTTATATAGGACAGAGGCCAGCTTGTCCTGCCACAGAAACACAATGTTATGTAGGACAGAGAACATCTTGTCCTGTTACAGAAACATAATGTTATATAGGACAGAGAACAGCTTGTCCTTCCACAGAAACACAATGTTATGTAGAACAGAGAACAGCTTGTCCTGCCACAGTAACACAATGTTATATAGGGCAGAGGCCAGCTTGTCCTGCCACAGAAACATAATGTTATATAGGACAGATGCTAGCTTGTCCTGTTACAGAAACATAATGTTATATAGGACGGAGAACAGATTGTCCTGCCACAGAAACACAATGTTATATAGGGCAGAGGCCAGCTTGTCCTGCCACAGAAACACAATGTTATGTAGGACAGAGGCCAGCTTGTCCTGCCACAGAAACATAATGTTATAAAGGATAGAGACCAGCTTGTCCTGCAACAGTAACACAATGTTATATAGGACAGAGAACAGCGTGTCCTTCCACAGAAACACAATGTTATATAGGACAGAGGCCAGCTTGTCCTGCCACAGAAACACAATGTTATGTAGGACAGAGAACAGATTGTCCTGCCACAGAAACATAATGTTATAAAGGATAGAGACCAGCTTGTCCTGCAACAGTAACACAATGTTATATAGGACAGAGAACAGCGTGTCCTTCCACAGAAACACAATGTTATATAGGACAGAGGCCAGCTTGTCCTTCCACAGAAACACAATATTATGCAGGACAGAGAACAGCTTGTCCTGCCACAGTAACACAATGTTACATAGGACAGAGAACATCTTGTCCTGCCACAGTAACACAATGTTATATAGGACAGAGGCCAGCTTGTCTTGCCACAGAAAGACAATGTTATATAGGACAGAGAACAGCTTGTCCTGCCATAGTAACATAATGTTATATAGGATAGATAATAGCTTGTCTTGCCACAGAAACACAATGTTATATAGGACAGAGAACAGCTTGTCCTGCCACAGAAACACAATGTTATATAGGACAGAGGCCAGCTTGTCTTGCCACAGAAATATAATGTTATATAGGACAGAGAACGGCTTGTCCTGCCACAGAAACACAATGTTATATAGGACAGAGGCCAGCTTGTCCTGCCACAGAAACACAATGTTATGTAGGACAGAGAACATCTTGTCCTTCCACAGAAACACAATGTTATATAGGACAGAGGCCAGCTTGTCCTGCCACAGAAACACCATGTTATATAGGACAGAGGCCAGCTTGTCCTGCCACAGAAACATAATGTTATATAGGACAGGGGCCAGCTTGTCCTGTTACAGAAACATAATGCTATATAGGACAGAGAACAGCTTGTCCTGCCACAGAAACACAATGTTATGTAGGACAGAGAACAGCTTGTCCTGCCACAGTAACACAATGTTATAAAGGATAGAGACCAGCCTGTCCTGCCACAGTAACACAATGTTATATAGGACAGAGAACAGCTTGTCCTTCCACAGAAACACAATGTTATATAGGACAGAGGCCAGCTTGTCCTGCCACAGAAACACAATGTTATATAGGACAGAGAACAGATTGTCCTGCCACAGAAACTTAATGTTATGAGGGATAGAGACCAGCTTGTCCTGCAACAGTAACACAATGTTATATAGGACAGAGAACAGCGTGTCCTTCCACAGAAACACAATGTTATATAGGACAGAGGCCAGCTTGTCCTGCCACAGAACACAATGTTATGTAGGACAGAGAACAGCTTGTCCTGCCACAGTAACACAATGTTATAAAGGATAGAGACCAGCCTGTCCTGCCACAGTAACACAATGTTATATAGGACAGAGAACAGCTTGTCCTGCCACAGAAACATAATTTTATAAAGGATAGAGACCAGCCTGTCCTTCCACAGAAACACAATGTTATATAGGACAGAGGCCAGCTTGTCCTGCCACAGAAACATAATGTTATATAGGACAGAGAACAGCTTGTCCTGCCACAGTAACACAATGTTATATAGGACAGAGAACAGCTTGTCCTGCCACAGAAACATAATGTTATATAGGACAGAGAACAGCTTGTCCTGTTACAGAAACATAATGTTATATAGGACAGAGAACAGCTTGTCCTTCCACAGAAATACAATGTTATGTAGAACAGAGAACAGCTTGTCCTGCCACAGTAACACAATGTTATATAGGGCAGAGGCCAGCTTGTCCTGCCACAGAAACATAATGTTATATAGGACAGATGCCAGCTTGTCCTGTTACAGAAACATAATGTTATATAGGACGGAGAACAGATTGTCCTGCCACAGAAACACAATGTTATGTAGGACAGAGAACAGATTGTCCTGCCACAGAAACATAATGTTATAAAGGATAGAGACCAGCTTGTCCTGCAACAGTAACACAATGTTATATAGGACAGAGAACAGCGTGTCCTTCCACAGAAACACAATGTTATATAGGACAGAGGCCAGCTTGTCCTGCGACAGAAACACAATGTTATGTAGGACAGAGAACAGATTGTCCTGCCACAGAAACATAATGTTATAAAGGATAGAGACCAGCTTGTCCTGCAACAGTAACACAATGTTATATAGGACAGAGAACAGCGTGTCCTTCCACAGAAACACAATGTTATATAGGACAGAGGCCAGCTTGTCCTTCCACAGAAACACAATATTATGTAGGACAGAGAACAGATTGTCCTGCCACAGTAACACAATGTTACATAGGACAGAGAACATCTTGTCCTGCCACAGTAACACAATGTTATATAGGACAGAGGCCAGATTGTCTTGCCACAGAAAGACAATGTTATATAGGACAGAGAACAGCTTGTCCTGCCATAGTAACACAATGTTATATAGGATAGATAATAGCTTGTCTTGCCACAGAAACACAATGTTATATAGGACAGAGAACAGCTTGTCCTGCCACAGAAACACAATGTTATATAGGACAGAGGCCAGCTTGTCTTGCCACAGAAATATAATGTTATATAGGACAGAGAACGGCTTGTCCTGCCACAGAAACATAATGTTATATAGGACAGAGAACAGCTTGTCCTGCCACAGAAACATAATGTTATATAGGACGGAGAACAGCTTGTCCTGCCACAGTAACACAATGTTATATAGGACAGAGGCCAGCTTGTCCTGTTACAGAAACATAATGTTATATAGGGCAGAGAACAGCTTGTCCTGTCACAGAAACATAATGTTATATAGGACAGAGAACAGCTTGTCCTGTTACAGAAACATAATGTTATATAGGGCAGAGAACAGCTTGTCCTGTTACAGAAACATAATGTTATATAGGACAGAGAACAGCTTGTCCTGCCACAGTAACACAATGTTATATAGGACGGAGAACAGCTTGTCTTGCCACAGAAACATAATGTTATATAGGACAGAGAACAGCTTGTCCTGCCACAGTAACACAATGTTATATAGGACAGAGAACAGCTTGTCCTGCCACAGAAACACAATGTTATATAGGACAGAGAACAGCTTGTCCTGTCACAGTAACACAATGTTATAATAGGACAGAGAACAGCTTGTCCTGCAACAGAAACACAATGTTATATAAGACAGAGAACAGCTTGTGCTGCCACAGTAACACAATGTTAGCTCTGCCTGACAAGATCAAGAGCTACAATCTGACACCATTGTAGCTCTGACTGACTAGATCTTGATCTACACTGGTGTCAGATTGTAGCTCTTGATCTAGTCAGACGAGACTACCCTGGGAGGCATGCCACGTCACAGCGCCCAAATCAATATATGCTGATATAACTGAAATACTGTTCAAAGCAGTGTTGAACCCAATTCAATGACTCCTGACATGATAACATATTGAGTTATGATTAAGACAAGGTTTTCAAGGTAAACTGCCCCCACCTGACTGTGTTTCCAGAAGACCTTGGCCAGGTTCTGATGGTTCGTCAGCAGGGCCCACAGGAACAACTCCTGGATCGGTGGAAGGCAGGTCCGATACATTTTGGGTTCTGAAGGGGAAATATATCATCTAGGAGATACATACACTATCTTCAATGTACGTCCAGATTAACTGTAGATTTAACTGCTCTAAACTGAATCGGGTACTAAATTCGCAGGGTACAATTTGTACAGAGTGTGTGAAAGCATGTGACAAGAGTGTGAAACCATGTGACAAGAGAGTGAAAGCATGTGACAAGAATGTGAAAGCATGTGACAAGAGTGTGAAAGCATGTGACAAGAGTGTCAAACCATGTGACAAGAGAGTAAGAGAGTGTGTGACAGTGTGTGAAAGCATGTGACAAGAGTTTGAAACCATGTGACAAAAGTGTGAAACCATGTGACAAGAGAGTAAGAGAGTGATTGACAGTGTGTGAAACCATGTGACAAGAGTGTGAAAGCATGTGACAAGAATGTGAAACCATGTGACAAGAGTGTTAAAGCGTGTGACAGAGTGTGTGAAAGCATGTGATAAGAGTGTGAAACCATGTGACAGAGTGTGTGAAAGCATGTGACAAGAGTGTGTAAGTGTGTGACAACAGTGTGTGAAAGCATGTGACAAGAGTGTGAAAGCATGTGACAAGAGTCTGAAAGCATGTGATAAGAGTGTGAAACCATGTGACAAGAGTGTGAAAGCATGTGACAAGAGTGTGAAAGCATGTGACAAGAATGTGAAAGCATGTGGCAAGAGGTTGAAACCATGTGGCAAGAGTGTGAAACCATGTGACAAGAGTGTGAAAGCATGTGACAAGATCGTGAAACAATGTGACAGAGTGTGTGAAACCATGTGACAAGAGAGTGTGTAAGGGTGTGACAGTGTAAGAGAGTGTATGACGGAGTGTGTGGAAGCACGTGACAAGAGTGTGAAACTATGTGACAAGAGTGTGAAAGCATGTGACAAGAGTGTGACTCCATGTGACAAGAGTGTGAAAGCATGTGACAGGAGTGTGAAAGCATGTGACAAGAGCGTGAAACCATGTGACAAGAGTGTGAAAGCATGTGACCAGGGTGAAAGCATGTGACAAGAGTGTGAAAGCATGTGACAATAGTGTGATAGCATGTGACAAGAGTGTGAAAGCATGTGACAAGAGCATGAAAGCATGTGACAAGAGTGTGAAAGTGTGTGTGAAAGCATGTGACAAGAGTGTGAAAGCGTGTGACAGAGTAAGAGAGTGTGTGACGGAGTGTGTGAAAGCATGTGACAAGAGTGTGTAAGTGTGTGACAACAGTGTGTGAAAGCATGTGACAAGAGTGTGAAAGCATGTGACAAGAGTGTGAAAGTGTGTGTGAAAGCATGTGACAAGAGTGTGAAAGCGTGTGACAGAGTAAGAGAGTGTGTGACGGAGTGTGTGAAAGCATGTGACAAGAGTGTGTAAGTGTGTGACAACAGTGTGTGAAAGCATGTGACAAGAGCATGAAAGCATGTGACAAGAGTGTGAAAGTGTGTGTGAAAGCATGTGACAAGAGTGTGAAAGCTTGTGACAGAGTAAGAGAGTGTGTGACGGAGTGTGTGAAAGCATGTGACAGAGTGTGTAAGTGTGTGACAACAGTGTGTGAAAGCATGTGACAAGAGTGTGAAAGCATGTGACAAGAGTCTGAAAGCATGGGATAAGAGTGTGAAACCATGTGACAAGAGTGTGAAAGCATGTGACAAGAGTGTGAAACCATGTGACAAGAGTGTGAAAGCATGTGACAAGAGTGTGAAAGTGTGTGTGAAAGCATGTGATAAGAGTGTGAAACCATGTGACAAGAGTGTGAAAGCATGTGACAAGAGTGTGAAAGCATGTGACAAGAGTGTGAAAGTGTGTGTGAAAGCATGTGACAAGAGTGTGAAAGCGTGTGACAGAGTAAGAGAGTGTGTGACGGAGTGTGTGAAAGCATGTGAGAAGAGTTTGAAAGTATGTGACAGAGAGTGAGAGAGTGTGGGGAGAGGGTAGCAGTATGTGACAGTGACTGTGAAATGGCATGACAGCATGTGAGACGAGCGATCTACCGTAGTACTTCATGCTGGGGACATCCGCCTCCTGCAGCTCACAAGGACAGTTCTTGCCTTTACATGTCAGAGGGTAGGACCCACCCAGAAGGTCACGCAGCACCAGCCGCACGTCAGACGGGCCGAACATTGCCGTCTTCACACCCAGAGTCTGAAACAGTCACATAGCCCTTCACAATGCAACAAGCTCTAAGTCACAGTGCTGGGACTTATTTTTACCAATTTTTATCTTAATTAAATCATCAAATCCTGTATTACGTTTTTATCAAGAAATGCCAGATGAGAATATTACTTTTGAAATAATGAGGTGAAGTCGTGTCTGTTACATGTGTTGTATCTTTACATGTTTCTTCACTGTTTCTTGCCCCAATCCAGCTTGCACAGATGGCGGTTATATGATTGTCAACTGACCTTAACATTTCTTGCATTGGCAGACAGGAGGAGTGGAAGACAGGATCCTAAACACTCTTCCTGAAATGAAAACAAGGTAAAGTGTTTGACATAGATTGTCTACACACAACACCTACCCTATTGTACAGCTGACAGAACCCGCACAGGGTGAAGTGTTTCACCAGACACAGATTGCCCTCCAACTACACACTGTACCTACCCTGTTATACAGCTGACAGAACCTGCACAGGGGGAAGTGTTTGACCAGACACAGATTGCCCCCCCCACTACACACTGTAACTACCCTGTTGTACAGCTGACAGAACCTGCACAGAGTGAAGTGTTTCACCAGACACAGATTGCCCTCCCACTACACACTGTACCTACCCTGTTATACAGCTGACAGAACCTGCACAGAGTGAAGTGATTCACCAGACACAGATTGCCCTCCCACTACACACTGTACCTACCCTGTTGTACAGCTGACAGAACCTGCACAGAGTGAAGTGATTCACCAGACACAGATTGCCCTCCCACTACACACTGTACCTACCCTGTTGTACAGCTGACAGAACCTGCACAGGGTGAAGTATTTCACCAGACACAGATTTCCCTCCCACTACACACTGTACCTACCCTGTTGTACAGCTGACAGAACCTGCACAGGGGGAAGTGTTTCACCAGACACAGATTGCCCTCCCACTACACACTGTACCTACCCTGTTGTTCAGCTGACAGAACCTGCACAGGGGGAAGTGTTTCACCAGACACAGATTGCCCTCCCACTACACGCTGTACCTACCCTGTTGTACAGCTGACAGAACCTGCACAGGGGGAAGTGTTTCACCAGACACAGATTGCCCTCCCACTACACGCTGTACCTACCCTGTTGTACAGCTGACAGAACCTGCACAGGGGGAAGTATTTCACCAGACACAGATTTCCCTCCCACTACACACTGTACCTACCCTGTTGTACAGCTGACAGAACCTGCACAGGGGGAAGTGTTTCACCAGACACAGATTGCCCTCCCACTACACACTGTACCTACCCTGTTGTACAGCTGACAGAACCTGCACAGGGTGAAGTGTTTCACCAGACACAGATTGCCCTCCCACTACACGCTGTACCTACCCTGTTGTACAGCTGACAGAACCTGCACAGAGTGAAGTGTTTCACCAGACACAGATTGCCCTCCCACTACACGCTGTACCTACCCTGTTGTACAGCTGACACAGCTGACACTACACACTGTACCTACCCTGTTGTAAAGCTGACAGAACCTGCACAGGGTGAAGTGTTTGACACAGATTGCCCTCCCACTACACGCTGTACCTACCCTGTTGTACAGCTGACACAGCTGACACTACACACTGTACCTACCCTGTTGTAAAGCTGACAGAACCTGCACAGGGTGAAGTGTTTGACACAGATTGCCCTCCCACTACACACTGTACCTACCCTGTTGTACAGCTGACAGAACCTGCACAGAGTGAAGTGATTCACCAGACACAGATTGCCCTCCCACTACACGCTGTACCTACCCTGTTGTACAGCTGACAGAACCTGCACAGGGTGAAGTGTTTGACACAGATTGCCCTCCCACTACACACTGTACCTACCCTGTTGTACAGCTGACAGAACCTGCACAGAGTGAAGTGATTCACCAGACACAGATTGCCCTCCCACTACACACTGTACCTACCCTGTTGTACAGCTGACAGAACCTGCACAGGGTGAAGTGTTTCACCAGACACAGATTGCCCTCCCACTACACACTGTACCTACCCTGTTGTACAGCTGACAGAACCTGCACAGGGTGAAGTGTTTCACCAGACACAGATTGCCCTCCCACTACACACTGTACCTACCCTGTTGTACAGCTGACAGAACCTGCACAGAGTGAAGTGTTTCACCAGACACAGATTGCCCTCTCACTACACGCTGTACCTACCCTGTTATACAGCTGACAGAACCTGCACAGGGTGAAGTGTTTCACCAGACACAGATTGCCCTCCCACTACACACTGTACCTACCCTGTTGTACAGCTGACAGAACCTGCACAGGGTGAAGTGTTTCACCAGACACAGATTGCCCTCCCACTACACCATGTACACGCTGTACCTACCCTGTTGTACAGCTGACAGAACCTGCACAGGATGAAGTGTTTGACACAGATTGCCCTCCCACTACACACTGTACCTACTCTGTTGTACAGCTGACAGAACCTGCACAGGGGGAAGTGTTTCACCAGACACAGATTGCCCTCCCACTACACACTGTACCTACCCTGTTGTACAGCTGACAGAACCTGCACAGGGTGAAGTGTTTCACCAGACACAGATTGCCCTCCCACTACACGCTGTACCTACCCTGTTGTACAGCTGACAGAACCTGCACAGAGTGAAGTGTTTCACCAGACACAGATTGCCCTCCCACTACACGCTGTACCTACCCTGTTGTACAGCTGACACAGCTGACACTACACACTGTACCTACCCTGTTGTAAAGCTGACAGAACCTGCACAGGGTGAAGTGTTTGACACAGATTGCCCTCCCACTACACGCTGTACCTACCCTGTTGTACAGCTGACACAGCTGACACTACACACTGTACCTACCCTGTTGTAAAGCTGACAGAACCTGCACAGGGTGAAGTGTTTGACACAGATTGCCCTCCCACTACACACTGTACCTACCCTGTTTTACAGCTGACAGAACCTGCACAGAGTGAAGTGATTCACCAGACACAGATTGCCCTCCCACTACACGCTGTACCTACCCTGTTGTACAGCTGACAGAACCTGCACAGGGTGAAGTGTTTGACACAGATTGCCCTCCCACTACACACTGTACCTACCCTGTTGTACAGCTGACAGAACCTGCACAGAGTGAAGTGATTCACCAGACACAGATTGCCCTCCCACTACACACTGTACCTACCCTGTTGTACAGCTGACAGAACCTGCACAGGGTGAAGTGTTTCACCAGACACAGATTGCCCTCCCACTACACACTGTACCTACCCTGTTGTACAGCTGACAGAACCTGCACAGGGTGAAGTGTTTCACCAGACACAGATTGCCCTCCCACTACACACTGTACCTACCCTGTTGTACAGCTGACAGAACCTGCACAGAGTGAAGTGTTTCACCAGACACAGATTGCCCTCTCACTACACGCTGTACCTACCCTGTTATACAGCTGACAGAACCTGCACAGGGTGAAGTGTTTCACCAGACACAGATTGCCCTCCCACTACACACTGTACCTACCCTGTTGTACAGCTGACAGAACCTGCACAGGGTGAAGTGTTTCACCAGACACAGATTGCCCTCCCACTACACCATGTACACGCTGTACCTACCCTGTTGTACAGCTGACAGAACCTGCACAGGATGAAGTGTTTGACACAGATTGCCCTCCCACTACACACTGTACCTACTCTGTTGTACAGCTGACAGAACCTGCACAGGGGGAAGTGTTTGACACACACTGTACCTACCCTGTTGTACAGCTGACAGAATCTGCACAGAGCGAAGTGTTTCACCAGACACAGATTGCCCTCCCACTACAAACGACACCTACCCTGTTGTACAGCTGACAGAACCTGCACAGAGTGAAGTGATTCACCAGACACAGATTGCCCTCCCACTACACACTGTACCTACCCTGTTGTACAGCTGACAGAACCTGCACAGGGTGAAGTGTTTCACCAGACACAGATTGCCCTCCCACTACACACTGTACCTACCCTGTTGTACAGCTGACAGAACCTGCACAGGGTGAAGTGTTTCACCAGACACAGATTGCCCTCCCACTACACACTGTACCTACCCTGTTGTACAGCTGACAGAACCTGCACAGAGTGAAGTGTTTCACCAGACACAGATTGCCCTCTCACTACACGCTGTACCTACCCTGTTATACAGCTGACAGAACCTGCACAGGGTGAAGTGTTTCACCAGACACAGATTGCCCTCCCACTACACACTGTACCTACCCTGTTGTACAGCTGACAGAACCTGCACAGGGTGAAGTGTTTCACCAGACACAGATTGCCCTCCCACTACACACTGTACCTACCCTGTTGTACAGCTGACAGAACCTGCACAGGGTGAAGTGTTTCACCAGACACAGATTGCCCTCCCACTACACACTGTACCTACCCTGTTGTACAGCTGACAGAACCTGCACAGAGTGAAGTGTTTCACCAGACACAGATTGCCCTCTCACTACACGCTGTACCTACCCTGTTATACAGCTGACAGAACCTGCACAGGGTGAAGTGTTTCACCAGACACAGATTGCCCTCCCACTACACACTGTACCTACCCTGTTGTACAGCTGACAGAACCTGCACAGGGTGAAGTGTTTCACCAGACACAGATTGCCCTCCCACTACACCATGTACACGCTGTACCTACCCTGTTGTACAGCTGACAGAACCTGCACAGGATGAAGTGTTTGACACAGATTGCCCTCCCACTACACACTGTACCTACTCTGTTGTACAGCTGACAGAACCTGCACAGGGGGAAGTGTTTCACCAGACACAGATTGCCCTCCCACTACACACTGTACCTACCCTGTTGTACAGCTGACAGAACCTGCACAGGGTGAAGTGTTTCACCAGACACAGATTGCCCTCCCACTACACGCTGTACCTACCCTGTTGTACAGCTGACAGAACCTGCACAGAGTGAAGTGTTTCACCAGACACAGATTGCCCTCCCACTACACGCTGTACCTACCCTGTTGTACAGCTGACACAGCTGACACTACACACTGTACCTACCCTGTTGTAAAGCTGACAGAACCTGCACAGGGTGAAGTGTTTGACACAGATTGCCCTCCCACTACACGCTGTACCTACCCTGTTGTACAGCTGACACAGCTGACACTACACACTGTACCTACCCTGTTGTAAAGCTGACAGAACCTGCACAGGGTGAAGTGTTTGACACAGATTGCCCTCCCACTACACACTGTACCTACCCTGTTGTACAGCTGACAGAACCTGCACAGAGTGAAGTGATTCACCAGACACAGATTGCCCTCCCACTACACGCTGTACCTACCCTGTTGTACAGCTGACAGAACCTGCACAGGGTGAAGTGTTTGACACAGATTGCCCTCCCACTACACACTGTACCTACCCTGTTGTACAGCTGACAGAACCTGCACAGAGTGAAGTGATTCACCAGACACAGATTGCCCTCCCACTACACACTGTACCTACCCTGTTGTACAGCTGACAGAACCTGCACAGGGTGAAGTGTTTCACCAGACACAGATTGCCCTCCCACTACACACTGTACCTACCCTGTTGTACAGCTGACAGAACCTGCACAGGGTGAAGTGTTTCACCAGACACAGATTGCCCTCCCACTACACACTGTACCTACCCTGTTGTACAGCTGACAGAACCTGCACAGAGTGAAGTGTTTCACCAGACACAGATTGCCCTCTCACTACACGCTGTACCTACCCTGTTATACAGCTGACAGAACCTGCACAGGGTGAAGTGTTTCACCAGACACAGATTGCCCTCCCACTACACACTGTACCTACCCTGTTGTACAGCTGACAGAACCTGCACAGGGTGAAGTGTTTCACCAGACACAGATTGCCCTCCCACTACACCATGTACACGCTGTACCTACCCTGTTGTACAGCTGACAGAACCTGCACAGGATGAAGTGTTTGACACAGATTGCCCTCCCACTACACACTGTACCTACTCTGTTGTACAGCTGACAGAACCTGCACAGGGGGAAGTGTTTGACACACACTGTACCTACCCTGTTGTACAGCTGACAGAATCTGCACAGAGCGAAGTGTTTCACCAGACACAGATTGCCCTCCCACTACAAACGACACCTACCCTATTGTACAGCTGACAGAACCTGCACAGGGTGAAGTGTTTCACCAGACACAGATTGCCCTCCCACTACACGCTGTACCTACCCTGTTGTACAGCTGACAGAACCTGCACAGGGTGAAGTGTTTCACCAGACACAGATTGCCCTCCCACTACACGCTGTACCTACCCTATTGTACAGCTGACAGAACCTGCACAGGGTGAAGTATTTCACCAGACACAGATTGCCCTTCAAGATGACATTCACCACATCTGAGCTGTCATTCAACATGGCCTCGACCAGGAAGTCCATCTGCATTCTCTCTGAACCTGGGAATGAATTGGGATATATTGGTCTTGTTTAAATGTACGAAACATTTGTGAACGTTTCAAGACTAAATACTACTGTCATTGTTGGAATCTTATGTGTTTATTGAGGATATTTGACATTAGTTTGTTTGTTTATCTGTTGTTTAACCCCGCACTTGGCAATTTTCCAGCTATATGACGGCGGTCAGTAACAATTCGAGACTGGACCAGACAATCCAGAGTGATGCCATTCCGGGTAATATAGTCGGACAGACTTCATTATTTTGCAGTTGATGTTGTGAGAAATGGTCCTGTCAAGATCCATGTCCAAGGAACAACAAACATTATGTTTGTTTGTTGTTTAACGCCGCACTCAGCAATGTACCAGTTATATGATGGCTGTATGTAAATAATCGAGTTAATCCAGTGATTGACATCATGAGCATCGATCATTGCATTTGGGATACGATGACATGCATCAACAAAGTCAGCGAGCCTGACCGTTAGTCACCTCTTACGACAAGAATTGGTTGTATTTGACTTTTGCATGGGTAATGAAAAATACAAGTAAATAACTTTTGAATAAGCTAAAATACCGTATTATGGGCAATTAAATTCTGGAAAAATACATCTGTCGTGTATAATACGCACAGACTTTTCTTTCGTATCATTTCAGACTGTCAGCGTTAAACCACGAAATTTACGATCTTTCAAATCTGTTTTTTTTTTACCGAAGTTACATTCTAATAATACCCCCCTATTTCTAATTTTGAGAGCGCCCTGGGTGCTTATTACGTCGAATACAGTAATACGATGGGTGGCCCAAGAATGGCAACTCTGCACAGCAAACCACAAGGTCATCCAAACTTTGTCATCTGACTGAACAACAACAAGTGCATCATGGGACTCACCCAGAAAACACTCCTGCTGGCTGGACACTGAGCTTATCTGAGTGGTGGCCGCAGTCTTGGTGGACGATTTGTTCTGAAATGATTCCAGTAACTTGTTCAACTGAGTCTCTTGTTTGCCTGAAATAAGGAGAAGAATGTAACAGTAAACTGTACATCTGAATGGCAGAGAGTTGACAGTCAAAGTTATTGAAGGTATACACAAGAAAATGGAGTATGAAACATTGTCAACTTAAATGATCACTGCACTCAATATTTTTGGCCATGAACACAAGAGTGTTAAAACCACATATTGCAGCATGAGTTAATGAGTGATTGGTTTGTGTTTCTTCAGTAATGCCACAATATAACATAGAAGTCTGAAAAGTACAATATGCAACACCTGCTCTGCAATGTGCAACAACTGCTCTGCCATACGCAACACCTGCTCTGCAATGTGCAACACCCGCTCTGCCATATACAACAACCTGCTCTGCAATGTGCAACACCTGCTCTGCAATTTGCACAACCTGCTCTGCCATATACAACAACCTGCTCTGCAATGTGCAACACCTGCTCTGCAATGTGCACAACCTGCTCTGCAATGTGCAACAACTGCTCTGCCATGGGCAACAACTACTCTGCTATGTGCAACATGTGCAGCAACTGCTTTGCAATGTGCAACACCCGCTCTGCAATGTCCAAGACCTGCTCTGCAATGTGCAACACCTGCTCGGCAACCCACCTTTCAACAGTGCCTGGCAGATGACCATGTCAAGGCCCTGTGTCTGATGGACAGGATCGAACACAGTCAGAAGATTGTTGTGTTCCAGAATATGGCGAACTTTCTCCTCATCTTCCTCCTCAATATCCTCCAACTGTTTGGCTGGCTTCAACTTGGACCTGGGAATAGTTGAGTGTATACTGTAGGGAGTCATGGCCCCCACATGGCAGGGGGACACTTGTAACACATACCTAGGCCACACCACAAGGCCATGAAGGTGGGGGAAAAGAGTTTTTTATGCATTAACATACTGAAAATAATTACCCTCCTCTAATGCTTTTAAGATTTTTTTTTATATCTCCTTTTCTCCTGTTGTTTAGGGGTGGTCAGGTAGCCTTGTGGTTAAAGCGTTCACTCGTCACGCCGAAGACCAGGGTTCGATTCCCGACATGTGAACAATGTGTGAAGCCTATTTCTGGTGTCCCCCGCTGTGATATTGCTGGAATATTGTAAAAAGCAGCGTAAAACCATACTCACTCACTCACTTTCCCCCCATGTCCTTGTACATTTGTTATCAAGACCACCCCCACCCCCCACCCCCCCACCCCCAATACAAACAACAAAATACAAAAACATCTAATGTTTCATGACCCTTTGAAATTGTGAAAGTTGAAATTGGTCCTCCCTGGTCTTCCACTGTTTAGGCAGAGTGCAGTTTCAATAATGTCAACTCTTACTTTGAGGCTCTCGTGGGGTGTCCTGATGTGTCATCACTATTTGGGCTAGAAGATGTTCATGGGCGGATACAGCTTTTTTTTAAAAGGGGGGGTGCACAATTAAGATCTATTTATTGTCTTTGGTGGTAATTTATACAGAAATAAAGGGTTTTTTTTAAATAAAAAGGGGGGGGGGGGGGGGGGGGGGTGCGCACCCCCGCATCCCCCCTCTGTATCCGCTCATGATGTTTCAGTGTAAGCAGTGACAGATTGTGTATTCATACCTTACAGCTATCTTGCCGGTCTCATCCAGAAACTTCTGGACAGATAATTGAGCTGAAAAATAGTTCCTGGCAAGTTTGTCTGCATAGCCACCAGTTCTCTAGAAAACAGATAAAATATAAATACAAAATGGTGGACATGGTGGACACAACATGGAACTAAGCTGTGCACATTCTGATGCTGGTGAATAGAAGGAAATTACTGGGCAAGTGAGTCTACCTCATGGTTCAAAGCACAAGGTCTTGACATCAATCCCACAAAAATGTCATGGCGTCAATATTTCAGCTGTATCAAACAAGAGGGAGATAGTTCTATGGATCTACAACTTCTTTATTACAATGAACATGATGAATGTGACGATTCAGTGTAGAGACAAACACCATTATCAAACTGGTGATGGCACTTGTTCTTGTTCATCATGCCAAATTCTAAATGGCACTTAAAGAGGTTACAGGTGTGTCATGACATCAACATGATCAATACTACTAAAATGTCAAGGAGTCAAGACTGCAAAAAATGTCATGGCACCAATACAACAACTGTGTCATGGCACCAATACAACAACTGTCATGGAACCAAAACAACAACTGTCATGGCACCAATACAACAACTGTCATGGCACCAATACAACAACTGTGTCATGGCACCAATACAGCAGCTGTGTCATCACACCAATACAACAACTGTCATGGCACCAATACAACAACTGTGTCATGGCACTAATACAACAACTGCTTTATCGTACACTATAAACCTCTGATGATGTCACACTACAGTAACAGAAGGTTCTTCAGAATCTTGGTAAACGTCCGAGGCAGGCAACATCAACATTGCCTGGGGTGTTCTGGTGGAATGCCCGGGACCTGATGAATACATTTCAATTGTAATACCTAGGTTTTACAATTAACAGTTAGCAATCGTGTTTGATGATTGGTTAAAAGTCACATTTCTTAACATAAAAATTCCATATCGTGAATCAACCTGCACCCTCACATATGGTGTTAAATTTTGTAACCCACTGTTTTACCACTGAGCTACCGGGGCAGGAGTTAGGAAGTTGTTCAATTTTACATGTCATGACTCCAGCTAGTCCATGCTGCTCCTCGGTTTTGGTTGAAAATGTAAAATCTTGAGCTTGGTGGTCTCGTGGTTTTACATTTTCAACCAAAACCTCAGACTTGCTTTATCCTACACATAAAACCTAACCTGTATGATAATGACGGGATGTCCTTTCCTGATGGCCTTGTACACATGGGTCAGTGTTTCTGATCCTCCATTGATCAGGACATAGACGCTCACTGCATCTTCACCTGCAGCAGAACATAGGGTCTGTAGCTCACACGCAAAAAAGGTCTCCTTTCAAAACAATGTTGCAAAGTTTTCTTTTACTGCACGCATTTCCTATTCTACTGGTTTTCAAAAATTTGAACAATAAGTCATCAGTGCAATCACCGTTGCTTTGTTTCACCGTTATGTTTTCGTGTTTGGGGTTCAAATGAATTTCAGGTTTTTTTACGTTACTTTCATATGCAAAACAAGTTCATTTTTCATACATATATTCATGAACCATTGCATAAATAATCCCTAAAGATGTTGGATAATTTCCAAAAAGCCCAATGCTTGTTGTAAAAGGCGACTAACGGGATCGGGTGGTCAGGCTCGCTGACTTGGTTGATGCATGTCATCGGTTCCAATTGCGTGGACCGATGCTCATGATATTAATCACTGGATTGTCTGGTCCAGACTTGATCATTTACAGACCGCCGTCATATAGCTGGAATATTGCTGAGTGCAGCGTTAAACAGCGTTTATGTGATTTTGGTAAAATACAATGTATCCCGCCTGCAAGGTAAATAAATTTCTGAGAGGAAGAATACATCCCTTATACCCCGCCATGAAGAAAACAGGTTGCACATGGATTTCTCAGCGGGAGAATAAATCCCTTATACCCAGCTTCGAAACCAAAAGTTGCACGCTACTTCCGAGTCAATGAAAGTCATGTGACATAGTACAAGTTAACCTCAGCTCAATCGAACAGCTGTTTTCTGTCAATTTTGACTTTGTTTAAATTCTTTCACAGCATTGAGAACACATTGAGAAATGTAAGAAAAATCACTTCAGGTAGATGTAGGTTTTATGCGTCTCTTATTAGGTATAAATTGGTGACATCATCTCTGATACTACTTTTTAAATAAGACTTACTCAGGTGATCAAGAGTGTTTTTTATCCTCTTCCTGAAAGAGCTTGCATGTTTTATGCTGGATGAAGTTCCTGTCTGACTGACGACTCCATCGTCAAACAACAGATAATGACTGAACAAGGGAGATAACTCTTCACCAATCACGTTATCATCATCCCTGGGACCTGGTTTTATCACTTGAACCTGCTCCTAAGTTAAAGAAATAAATATTCAACTTATCCCCAACATCACTCTTTTAGTAAGGTCTCATAATGACAATGTCTTTCTTATAAAGTGCAACACTCCATACCACAAATAGATGACGGAATGTTAACAAATCATGGCACCAGTACCTGGGTCATATGATCAATGTGTAGCAAATCTACAATCTCAGCTCCCTGGGGAGTATATACCCTACCTGTCACTATGCCTTGGAAGTGCAGCATTCACATAACCATCTCACCTTACAAGTTAAATATTTTGAGAAAATTCATTTCATCCAATTTTAATAAAATATTTTACACTTTGAGAAAACAAAATAAGTCATGTAAGAATTATGGCCTTGCCGATGCTGGTCCAATGAACTTTGACCTCTCTGAATCAGGCAGATGTCCCCAAGGTGCACACGCTAGACGGAACACCTCAGCGTGGAACACCGGGTTGCTGCACAGTTTCTTCAGGACATTGTGGACGTGGCGTGACACGCCCGTCTTCAGGCCCGTTGAACTGATAAACAACTCTGAAACCCAACATGAAGATCAATCAAGTTTTGCAAAATGTTCAGATGCAGAAAATCTTCTTGGTTCTTCTCATCTTCCCGAGGCAAGAGAGTTACTGATCATAAAAGTCTAGTTTCCACCCTTGCCGAACTCAGCTTGAATTATGGAGTTACATTTTGGCTGGACTAACGAGTCTATGCATAGTCCAATCAAAATCACGTAACCAAATCAACATCCGGTTCGTAAACTTCAATGCAGATTTGGGTCGACTGCAGGATTTGCCGAGCGCGTGCACTGGGCAACTTGGCATGGCAACTGGGCGTCGACAGATTTTTTCCAAATCTTTTCATATTTTTAATAAAGGTGCTCGAGTGATTTGATGCACTTTGCAAGGTAAGACATGTTTCATTACGATAAAGATCATTGTTATTGATCAGATCCTTTTGACTCGGCGCCACCATTTTGTATGAAGTAAATGCAAGTGATTGGTCAGGAGGAGGGACATAGAAAGGACGTAGCTTGTAATAGCCACTGGTGGTGCTATGATTGAGCCTGGAAATTCAAAGGGTGTAAACTGGACTTTTACATTTTTTTTACATTTTTTCATTTGATTATTTGACCACCTACACATTCAAGGAATTCTTTTAGAACTGGTCACTGTACCCAAGGCCTCCATCATGTCTCATTTCTTGACAGTCATTGTTGGACTTGTTCTGCAAGGTCGGGCATCCTTAAAGTTACTTTATAACCAAAAAATAGTGGTCACTGTTTTTCCAAAATATGAAACGTCTTGAGACAGTGACCAAAATATATTTCATCTAAAACAACTATCCAACCCAAGTCCATCGTAACCTCACCCCTACCCTAACCTCAACCCATCCCCAACCCAAACCCATCGTAACCCCTACCCCACCTCCACCCTAATCCCAGTCCCACCTCAACCCCAACCTAACCCCAATCCCACCACCAGAACATAAACTATTTGACCCTTACTGGTACTCAGTGCGAGAGTTTTGAGTCCACGCTTGAGTCTCTCCTGCAGCTGTGTCTCCTGGCTGTCTGTCAGGTCATCGTGACCTTGTTGGAAGTCAAGGAAGTGGATGTAGAGGTTGTAGTGGGAGAGATGCAGGATGTTGTCAAGGAGGTAATGTAGCTTCTCCTCCTTCGTTTCAAAGTCTAGGCGGAAAAACTTTAAAAAGAAATTAGCATAGTCTGTAGCTCACCTTAAAACTTTAGGTCAATATGCCCATGATTGGTTGGTTGGTTGGTTGGTTTGTTGTTTAACGCCGCACTCGGCAATATTCCAGCTATATGACCGCGGTCTGTAAATAATCGTGTCTGGACCAGACAATCCAGTGAATAATATCATGAGCATCGATCCACACAATTGGGATCGATGACACGCATCAACCAAGTCAGTGAGCCTGACCACCCGATCCCGTTAGTCGCCTTTTAAGACAAGCATATTTTAACTTTGCACTCAATTTAATAAGGTGAGGTGAAATGGGGTTTAACGTCACTGTCAAGATTATTGCACTTATATAGCGACGGGTATGCACATGTGGGTACGTGGCTGCTTGTACTCGTCTGGAGTAATGTTGATTTTATAGTGCTAGCCAACTGAGATACCATGACACAGTTTAACATGAATACCCCACTCAGACACAGTATACCGACTCCGATCCGACCAGTCCTTGTTTTAGCCGCTTAATGCCGAGCGCCAGACAGGGTAACAACAAGTACCATCTTTTACCAGACTGCACATCGATTTCTAAGAGACAGAATAAATCCCTTATACCCACCCCGCTTCAAAGCTAAAAAAACCAGCACAATTTTTTCGTGTCAATGGAAGTCATGTGACATTACGCAAGCTAAGCTCAGCTCAAACGAACAGCTGTTTTTGATCAATGTTGAATTTGTGTTCCTTCTTTTGCAGGGTCACATTAAAACATGTCAGTGAGATAAATTTGTTGTTGCAGGATCACTCGGGGTACATTGGGTTTTATGTGTCCCAAGTTAGATAGAGAATCTCAACCTTGTGTCTTTTGATATCAAATTTATCAACACGAGTTGATAAAAGTAGGAAAACTCCAAGGCTTGCCAAGGATTTTTCCACTTTTATCAACGAGTGTTGATATATTTGATATCAAAAGACACAAGGTTGAGATTATATTTATCACCCCACATCATGCTTCCAACTTTTTCAGTTTGTAGGCAGTAATAAGCAGTGTCTTCAGTGTAAAAAGTACTGCTAACAGCTTCAGTAGCAGAGCCATTAGTGATGTCATTTGATTGTGACGACATGGTAACCAATGACGTCACAATGGTCTGCAAAGCATTGTAATGCAATTTCATTGCAGCGATATCTACAGTGCAGATATCGCTTGATCTCACCCAAGCGATATTTCCTGTGAAAGCCAGTTTGGGGTGATAAATTTTATATCACTCACCTCCAACTTGTGGTATAAAACCTAACGCAGGAAGATGCTCTGGGAAGAAGCATAAGTCATTTCTACCTTAAATCATAATGGAATGAACAAGAAACTGCCTTTTTTGCGTGGAGCTTCAAATGCCATCTCACCCAGGACTCGAGAGCATCATCTTGGAACTGTATCCTGCCGACAGCATCTGTTTTCGACCGCCTGATGTTGGTGTTTCTGTTCCACTGAGGTTTGCTGTCTTTCTCATCAAGACTCACAGCATGATCCCTCTTTTCTAGACCACAGTAGCACAGGCTGAAGCAGTCAGTTTATTAGGACATTTACACACTGTCTTACCAATGTACAGCTAAGTTATACCATGCAGCACAGGCTGAAGCAGTCAGTTAATGAGACATTTACACACTGTCTTACCAATGTACAGCTAAGTTATACCATGTATTTTCTTCCTGCAGCAGACAAACACGTTTTTATTGCAAATGTAGGGATTATGTATGGGCTGGTGATGTGCTTCAGTCCGATTCACTTTATAGACGGGGTATATAAATTAAACTTCCTTAAAGTGATATTATTGCTGAATGTTGCCTCTAGCTTAGTTTACGAGACAATACACACGGTAATCTAAATCTCTTCATATAAAACAATGCCTACCAGGACAGGAAATACAATTTAATCTGTAAATCATTATGTCTAGTGTCATTATGTCTATGTTTTATCTAAAATTTCAAATAGGAATTGACCAAGTTTAATTGTTATGATCTGTTGGTTTCCCTGAATTCGCTGAAGGGATGCGACATATTCTTTTCTGTGGAAGACAAACATGTTTTTATTGCAAATGTAGGGATTGTGTATGCACTGGTGACTTGATTCATTCCGATTCACTTTATAGATGGGGTATACAAGATACAAGGCTTTTACAGGGGCGTCGCCTTGTAAGTGGGGGTCACTTTATAGATGGCGATATACAGTATATAAATTAGGATCGAATCTGAAGTCTTGTACAGGGGCGTCGCCTTGTAAGTGGGGGTCACTTTATAGATGGCGATATACAGTATATAAATTAGGATCGAATCTGAAGTCTCGTACACATTTGTACAGGGGGGTCGGTTTACATGTTTGGAGGCTTTTCTTACTTATTTGCATATCATGCACGTAAAAATGTTACATAAAATATGTGTGTGTGTGGCAGCAAAAATGTATATAGTCCCAAGACCAATCTGTCGACCTACCCTAAAATAATCGACCAGTTTTAATGTTCAATATAAACCAATGACCTGGTGGGTTCTAATAAACAAATGGACAGTGAACATCGCCTCATAATTTAGCCTTATTCTGGTAAAAGAGAAGTCTTTATCATTAATATCTGAAAAACATTATCTGTAAAGTACTTGGTTTACCTGTCGTTATCTGGACTTGCCGAAAACCCGACACACTCGCACTTATCCAGCTGCTGCAGCCAAACCTCGTCCGTGGAACCTGCTGCTATGGTCTGGAAAATATGCCATCCAAAATGACTAAAGCAAAGGGACACTGTAAATAATCACTATAACACTATTTATCCAATTATTATCATTTTCAGAAACCAAGGTCTGCCATTAAGTGCCTGTCTTAGTTGGTTTGCCACACTAGGCAATATTCGCACTGTATGACGTCAGTCTGTGAAAAATTGAGTCTGGACCAGACAATCCAATGATTGACATCATGAGCATCATTCTATGCAATTGGGATACGTTGACATGCATCAACCAAGTCAGCCTCTTATGAAAAGTATAGGCACCTCTTACAACAAGCATGGTATGCTGAAGGCCAATTCTAACACAGGGCCTACTTGCACAAAGCAATCTTAGCGCTAAGATGATCGTAACTCCCATACTTTAATATAGGCTTACAATAGTCGTAGCGCTAAGATTGCTTTGCGCAAGTGGGCCCAGGGCCCCGTTCCTCAAAGCAATCTTAGCGCTACGATGATCGTAAGCCTATGTTAAAGTATGGGACTTACGATCACCTTAGCGCTAAGATCGCTTTGAGGAACAGGGCCCTGGTCTTGATGGGTGCACTCAAATATAAGGGTCAGTGTCCTCGAACACAACATACTGCTTGACTTGACTAATACACTGTGCAGTGTTCAAGAGTCCAAGTGGGTTGTGTGTTTATTTGTTTGTTGTTTAACGCAGCACTCGGCAATATTCCAGCTATATGATGGCGGTCTGTAAATAATCGAGTCTGGACCCGACAATCCAGTGAATGACATCATGAGCATCGATCCACTCAATTGGGACACAATGACATGCATCAACCAAGTCACCAAGCCTGACCACCCGATCCCATTAGTCGCCTCTTACGACAAGCGTGGTTTGCTGAATACGTACTCTATTCTGGATCTTCACTGGTCCAAACAATGGTTCTTTAATGCACATGCTCAATACAATTCTAGGTTGTGTTTGAAACAAAATGTAATCCGACATATCAGGGTAAGTTTTAACTTATTTTCAAATATTGGGACAATTGAGTTTGAGACAAGCAGGACTTTGACACATCCAGGTTAAAATAGTGGTAGATATAGTAAGAGATTGGATTGTGAATTCAACACAACCCGGGGAGGCAACACAACCAAGACAAGGGGCTGTCGGGTAGCCTAGTGGCTAAAGCGTTCGCTCGTCCACCAAAAACCTGGGTTCGATTCCCGACATGGGTACAATGTGTGAAGCCTATTTCTGGTGTCCCCCACTGTGATATTGCTGGAATATTGCTAAAAGTGGCGTAAATCCAGACTCACTCACTCACACAACCAAGTCTAAGACAATTTGGTTTGAATGTATATCACAGCGATCTATATATAATTGAGTCTTGACCAGACAAACGAGTGGCTAACAGCAAAAGAATGACTAATGCACGATGACATACAATCCACCATGAGACATATTGAAATCATTCAATTATATTAGGCAGCTCGACCATCAAGCAGGGTCACTCCCTGCAAGGTAAGAATAATACGACTGTCGGACTTACAGTGCTCCAGTCAGTAGTCTTTGACTCGGATAAACTTCTCGACCCTGACTTGCTTCTGATGCCATCCGATACCAGGTCTCCAAGGTCATTTGCATGTGCTTCATCATCATCGTCATCATCAGAGCTCCAAACTACGTCATTATTCAGGAACTGAACCCTGAAACGTCACATTTGCAAGCAGTGATGAGATTTCACAAATATGGTCAGGGAAATAAAGTAAACATATTCCTGAATCATGTCATTCAGAACATTGGCACAGGCAAGGGTAGAGGTTTCACAGACATCCGTCGACATCTTCTCAGACCTAATATCATGTCGTATTAAGCCCCTCACCAGAACGTTTTCTATCAGGATGATGGTCGTTTACTGACGTAGTCCAAGCAGGTAACTGTCACAGATCTTAACACAGAGTTTCTACACATCTTCTCCAATCCCCTCGGATTGGAAACATCAATAAACAATCACAAAACTGTGTTTGATTTTTTAAAAAAAAATAAAGTGTACATTTACACATACCGTTTTCAACGTAATAAGCGCCAAGGGCGCTCTCAAAATTAGAGTTGAAAGATAAAGTTTGTGGTTTATGCTGACAGCCTGAAATGTTTATGTACGACAGAAATATTTTTCTAGAATTTAATTGCCCATCATAAAGGGTGCATACAACACACGAGTGCGTATTTTACGCGAATAAATAAGTCTTGTGAGCATTGATCAATTGGAAGGGGTGCTAATTGGGGTTGTTCACTAGCCAATATATCAGCAAATATCGCCGTTGGCGCTTATTAGAGCGGGGTGCTTATTACGTTGCATACGGTATGTTACATATCTAAAATAAAACAGTATAATTAATTATTAGAATTTTTTTGGTAGATTCATATTATTCACATTATTCATCATAACGTACGTTAGACACAGAGAAGTTAATAAATTTATTTTCTGTGAACATGATATCATATGCCTGCCATTTGAATTATTGAGTGGACCATCACTTTTAGGACTAAATGATTACAATAGTAGCATGGGAAGCATGGTTAATATACACTAAGGAATTTAGATTCAGCATTTTTCATTAAAACCTAATATTTGTTCAATATAGTCACTATACATAAATCGACAGCGGCTTTTGGAAAGTAAAAAAATACAACTTTACAAGTGTTGGTCTGAGAGGCCATAAAGCTACGAGGTATGGAGCCTATGTCCAGTCTAGATTTAGATGTAATTATTCCGTTATTCTTCCCCGCCCTTAAGGCGGGGAAGTATACGGGAGACGTTAATTTTGTAGCATGTAAGTCGACATGTTGGTTTCTTTGAAATTTCAAGCCACACAGTTACCGAAACGAAACATACAAATCATGTGAAATGTGCGTGAAATGTTGATGTTTATCTTTTCCAGCAATAAGAGATACTTCAAAATCGTCTTGCTTTTCTGAGACTTTGACACTTTTCGTAATGCTGATAACCCATGAAATTTGTTCATTTTGTTTTTAAAAGAGCTAAAAATTATCCTTTTTCGCTAAAGTTAACCGGTCTATATTTTGTAAGAATAAACTATTGCGCATTGAGCGATCATCTCCTTTAGCTATAGGCGTAGTATAGAAGTGATTAATTCACGCACTGACCTTGCATTGCTGTAGATCGTATCTTATTCAAGCTGTATCACTGAGAGTGAGTGATTATCTCCCTTACCCAAACAGCTCAATTGCGCACTACCTTTACAATGTATCGTATGTTATTCAGGCAGCCATCGAGAAACGTACCAGGAAGGAATTTAGGCCAAGCCTGTCACGCGCACTCAATTTTAACACTGCTTTTGCAACATATTGTTCAACACGATTAAATAACAGGCTTCTATAAAGTATGACTTGGTTCAATAAACAACACATGTAAAACAACGGGTTTGATATGAGAAATGTTTTATTGGTTGTCTTCATAATCACATGTATGGCGCTTGCTGTGCATAGTTGAGCACCGAGCAAACCGAGATTCAAACAGTCTGTCATAGGTTTCTGGCGTGCCCAAGGGACACAGCTCTGCATAGCGAATTGCAGCGCCTTCGGCGACTGGGCCAACCATGTCCCCGTAAACAACTGTAAGAAACTGTTATACAACAAAGATGTTTTAGATGAGATGTGTATTGCGGAACATTCCATGAAGAAACAGTGACAATATTACACAATCACAAACTACAAAATACATGCACAATAAACGACAATTAAAAAACCCCAGGAACATTCAACATTCAAATGACGTACATTATAACAATTTAATTTCTAAAACAAGTGTATTATAATGATATGGAAACAATATGAGAATTGAGCAAAACTATGGTAATGTTGTACATACGTGTACAAGGAATTTGTTTATAATTGTTGATATGTTAACAGATCTTGGAAGTTGTTTCTGGACAACTGTTGGTAAACGTATTAAGAATCTGCTCCTTTTAACAGAGTGTACCAAATTCTTTATCATGATTGGGGATAATTTGTGACTCTCTGTCTTGGTTGTATTATGTAAGACAGTGCGTAATGTTGTTCATCTTCTGAGACATCACATGTTTCACAGAGACGTTGATCAAATGGGGTTGTATTTTTGTATATGTACAATTTTTTCAGTTTTTAGTTTGTGATTACTTAAACGAAGTTTTGAGAAAAGTGACCTATGGCCTTTGTTTTTACAATATGTAAGATAATTCTCAATATTTATAGATAACGTGACCAAACTGTATGTTCCTAACTTGCTGCTAGATGAATGGGAATCCATTAATGATTGCGTGAAATTTTACAATTGAACTGAAGTATATTTAGAGTGGATTCATTACATTTTTTGGTGTTTACTATTTTAAAAGTTTGCTTTATTTAACCCAACCAACATTTTGACCAGAAATATTGATATTTGCTGCAAAAGCATGCTTTAGAATGACATTTGTTGTGTTATCTTTATAGGACTTTTTTTATTGGTACTAATAATTGGTATATTTCAAGTTTTGCCTGACAGGCCCAGTTTTCTTGCCTGGGTTTTCTTTGTGCAGACCACTGTAAAGACACTGTTTCGTTTATTGTGCTTTCCAAAGATAAGTACATTAATAACAACCAATTTGTACTTTACACCAATTCTCTCCTCCCATAGCTTACACTTCCTTCCTCTGCACATAACATTATATGGCGGGGAGCTATTTATGCTCTGCAGCAATCTCTACTTGTTTCGGCATATTGACCTTTTTCACACTTTCGCCATCTTGGATCGAAAACGAGGCTTGGAGAGCCTAGCTCCATGCAGTGAGAGTCGCATCAGCTCATTGGGAATAGACAGCATGTTGTGCATTTCACTGATGGACATTTGAAACAAACAAAAAATGGTATCCTCTGTATATAATACAGAAGATATTTCACATTAAATCATGAGGTCCAACTATAATATGCCTGTTATACACTGGAATTAGCATTTTGCTGTCAGGATCCCGGAAGTGAATCGAAAGGTGCATTTCGAGATACGTATTTCAGAAATAGATTGTTTTATCATAACCTCATCGGCATATAGGTACAATGTGACAGTACATTCAATGACAGAAGTTTTCTATCGTAAATAAACCACATAACATGAAACACGTCAGTGTACTTTTGCAAAATTGCTCAGTCAATGCGTGGCTTGGCGAACTCTAGATCAAGATTGAGATCATGTTTATTTCACGTTTCATAGTGGTGTTTGCTGCACAACGCACTATCGTTTTGCCATGAGTCCAGTTGACAAAAGACACTTTTTCTGCTATATTAAAATGTTAATTATGAAAATAATTCGTGTGTCAAAATAAATATTCAGAAGTGTACAATGACATATGATACTTTACTTGTTATTCAAACATCACTTACTTAACTGATTATTGCCGATTGAGATTGCACCGTGCACTACAAAAGTAATAATGTGTGAACTGTTTAAAATAAGTTAAAAGGAAACTAAAAATTGATAAATATAAATAATGCATGAAATTGAAGAAATATAAGAATTGATACAACTACCAACTTCTTGAACACCCTCACCTAATCCTGTATGATGAAAGGTAATTGTCTATCAAAAGGAAGCTACTAATACATTTATCCTGAATAGTTTGAAAATGTCTTGCTCAGATATGAGTACAGATAAAATAACAAAAGATAAAAAGAATCAACTTCAATTGGTAATCAAGCCAAGATAAAATATATGTATCGGTACAAATTATGTTGATGGAACAATCTGGATTTCTCATATTTGACAAAGAAAAACAACCCAAAATTTTCATATCTTTATTTCTCACAATATAAGTTTTCAAAACTTAGCATGGACTGGGTGTCTTTTTCAGTCAAAAGCACCTAATTAAATTCCAGGAGAAAATAATTTTCTTGCTTGTAAACAAATGGTACAATGTGCTTTTTCAGTGTCCGATAAATATTGGCCATGTTGATTTGTGAGTGAATAAGGCTTTTCACTTCCTCGTCCTTTGACAGGACGCACATTGTAACCATTGTGTTACTGTCAGCAGAAAGCTCCTCCAGACATCCGTCACCGGATACTAGTACTTCATTGTGTTGACTCGCTGGCCTGAAATGAATAATTCTATTATATTGTAATAATATTCCTACTTCAATAACCTTTTTTATAAACCTTTTATATTAACTTTGTCAGATCACAAGATGAAATATTATTAAACATATTTTATTGTCCAAAAAGACAAAGGGCAACATTTATACATAATATTGCATAATGAAAATGAACAATTTACTCTCTCATAAAGTCCAGTGTGAATCTAGATACTGACACCAGTAACAGTGCATGCTGGCACATTTATTTGTTCAGGCTTGGCATTTGGGAATATTTGCCATGAATGTTTAATACTCAATACCTTGAAATAAAATTACTGAATAGATCTGAAGCTTATTTATTGTTTTTTGTCTGGGATAATGCTTAATTTCTGGTATCAGCCATGATACTGAATTGATATTGAATATAATATCATAACAATGCACATGGAATAGATTTCCATGTTTATGGGTCAGAATTTTCCAAGAAAATACAACAGATGCTTACCAATGACCAATGGCATAGCAGTTGTTGCTTTGTGAAATGAATTCTTTGTTGAAATATCAACATGTCTTGTTTTTGCATTGCTGTTTTAGGGTCCAGCATACAAATTACATGGATTCATAGAACAATAGCCAATAAACATTAACATTTCTTGACCAGTAATCTTAAAACAGATTGGTCCAAATGGATAGCGGAAAATGTGAAATGACAGTTACCTTATTTGTTTGACTTGGATTTATTAGCAGAATATTTAAAATACACAAATATATGAAAAATAGGTGCAATTGTTTCTATCTCTTCATCAAGTCAATATGGTTGCACCACATTGTGTTCATCAGTGTTGACTGAGTGATAAGTTGAATCTATTAATGTTTTGGACTTGTGGCAATTTTTTTACTTGGTTCAATTGAGCCTCACAACCAGAAATATTAATTTAAAAACCCCTACCTTTATCACAATTATTCTTTTAATCTTGCCCCTGCTATCAATCACAGTCTGCAGTGTTATAACAATTATATTGCTTACGAGGTTTAACACTTTTATTTCTTCCCTCAGAATAACATTACACTTCATTTATTAGAAAGTATATTTCTTAATGTAGGACATGTCATTGGTGATCGCCTCCATAATTCAGTGTATTTGTCTTGCATTTTGGCCACTTCTGACTTGAAGTTGCTGCGTGCTGGATGATACTTCATCTTTTGGTTGCTGTACAGCAGAAATTCACTCCTGTATGACCAAGAAAAAACCCATTCATGTTCTGCAACAACATAGAACTAGACATCAAGTACATACACAGTGTAAAATTACCATTGTCCAACACCAGTTTTATTCATCACCGGACTTAACAAATAATGTTTACACAATTTGATGAATAAGTATATCACTGTGAATATTCATATGGAATACTAACAGCAGTTACTTGTTGCACAAACCTGAAACCACCTGAGACTAAGAGGTCTTTCATTGAAATATGCGAGTAAAATAAAACAATTTGACTTACATACTTTAATATAACTATGATAATAATATTCAAATGTAGTTCGAAATAAAGGGGTATGTGTGTTTTACAGGATAGGTTTGATATATTTCTTTCAAATACTAGATTATAGTAATCAATATAATGTATTGACTTGCCTTCATGGTTATTTGATTAACTGTTGAGTGATTTGTGACACTAGAAGTTATTATGTTTATTCTCCCATATATTCTTTTTAGGTGCATGTTGATGAGAAGAGCTTTATTTTATTCAATGTGGATAATTATTTTTGGGATAAATATATTTACAGGCAGGGCTAAGAAAATCTATTTGGTATGCAGTAATGACTGTCATTCATCCAAAGTAGAGGAACTTATTCATTTTCTCTAAACTTTTAATTATTTCACAAAAACATTATTTTGTTATTATTTATTTATTTTAATTTTAATTTTTATGGGGTGGGGTGGGGGTCTTTTGAGTCTTTCTTGTTAATTTCTGACATACGCACTTCCATACAGTCATTAAGTACATGTAGGTGAGAGTAAACTTATGGTGCAAACTACCAAGGTGCAAGAAATAGTACATCTGCATTATTATATCTATTCACATTTAATATACAAACTAATTTTCATAATTACACAACAATTTATGCACAGGCTTTCTACATTGCATAAAAACCCTCTTGTCTCCTTCATAAAAAAATATTTATAAGTAAGTTTCTTCTCCAAACAAATTTCTTAATGGAATATTATTTACTTAATTTAAGGTGTGTGACAGAGTAAACATGGTATTTATGACCAAATATAGTGCCTATTAAATTTTAAGTTCCAAACATGTAACGGGGTTATTAAGTACTATAATTACTAAAAAAATACAAAAATACAATATACTAAAATAAATTTCACGTTTAAAAATATATTCATAGCATAGATTTTCCAAATTTCATCCTCCAAACCTTGCCTAATTTAATGCCTATTCAAACTGTCAAAGGCACGGCTTCCATGACACTGCTCATGCCGTCAGATACCAGAATAACGTGGTAAGTTGGGGAAAGTGGCCTACCTATTAGTAGTTACATCTTCATAAATAATATTACATCACAGAAACATGTGACACATCCTCCGTAATCATAAAATACTGTCCACTGAGACTATAAATACACGTCTGAACGATAGTACCACTGGTTGTCAAAATTATTTTAAAGGTAAAGAAAAGAACACATACCTTTACGAACTGTCCCATGGTTGTCAGTTGTCAGTCAGGAACCGATAAATCTGACAGTATTGACAAATAACCGATCATATTATTCTGAAATAAGTAAATTTTTACGACTGTCAACAGCGGTGACAACCAAGCGTGGTAGTTCACTTGGTACCGTCTACAGAGTTAGCTTTGGCGGCCGCGCATTTCGAAAGCAGCACTAGTTCACGCGGATAGGCATGTCACCGGAAATGCTGGCAACGGAAGTAGCGCTTCGCGAGACTTACGGGCCCTATTGAAACTAAGATGTGAGGTGAGGTGAAATTGGGTTTAACGTCGCGTCCAAGATTATTGCACTTATATAGCGACGTGCATGTACGAGTATGTGTTTGTGTGGCTGCTTGTTCTAGTCTGGACTGATGCCGATTTATAGTGCTAGCTCACTGAGATACCACGCCGCAGTTTAACATGAATACCCCACTCAGACACAGTATACTGACTCCGAGCCTACCAGTCCTTGTTTTAGCCCCTTAATGCCGAGCGCCAGACAGCGTAACAACAAGTACCATCTTTTAACGTCTTTTGGTATGACGCGGCCGGGGATCGAACCCCGGACCTTTCGCTCTCCGGGCGAACGCTCAACCACTAGACCACGGAGGCGGTCTTGAAACTAAGACACGGTGTTGTAAGTGAAGGTGTGACTACACACATACCTTCTACTATCGAATGTCATGTTGATCCAAACTCGATAAGCTTCTCTGACCCGCTGGCTTCACAATCGCATCAGCACGCACGGTCCACTCAACGACTCAGCTCAACGACCTTGATCGAAATTGGTGCTTCCGTGAATAACAGTTCCTCAAAGCAACAGAATGCATGTAGCCTGAAGTGCCATTCATTTGTCTTTCCACAAATCCATGACTGAGGTTCTTTCATCGCCAGATTGTCCCAGTTCTGCTTTGATAGTTTGATGCATCGTATCAACTTCAAACTTAACCTTTGCGGAAGTGTGATTCACGTTAATGACAGCAATCGCTGCAGGGAGCTTTCAATGTTCTAGCCTTACTCCGTCTCTTCTATGGATAAACTCTAAGGCGTTTCAAGGTATTAGTCTTGGGTGCTTCCAGCGGAGCTGGGAATCGTGTTCTTGTATAACATGATATGGACTTTAGCCTTGAAACAACACAAAGGATAACCCACATTAAAGGGTATTTTCTAAACGATTTTCATGTCATAACAGACAGCCAATGTTTGCAAGTAGAGTCTAGAATAATTCTTCAACCTAAACAAAAAAAAAGGCTGCGTTGTCTGTTTGTTTGTTGTTTAAAGCCGCACTCAGCAATATTCCAGCTATATGACGGCGGTCTGTAAATAATCGAGTATGGATTAGACAATCAGGTGACTGACATCATGAGCATCGATCTACGCAACTGGGATACGATGATATGCACCAACCAAGTCAGATAGCCTGACCACCCGATCCCGTTCGTCGCCTCTTACGACAAGCATAGCCGCCTCTTACGACAAGCGAAGTCGCCTTTTGTGACAAGCATGAGTTGCTGATTGTCTGGTTGTTTACTGATTATTTACAGACCGCCATCATATAGCTGGAATATTGCTGTGTGCAAACAACAAACAAACAACTAAAGCCATAACAGACAGTCAGTTTGCAAGTAGATTCTACATTAATTCTTTAACGTAAACAAACAAAAAGTGGTTACACTAACTATTGGTTTACAATTTAAAAAAATCCCACCCGTTTCTCTAATAGGACGTAACTATTTACAAGCATAAAGAAAAAAATATGTTTAATATTAAATTTGCGGTTTATAGGGTTTCGGTCAACCAACAAGTGTGACTGACTCATTCTTCCCCGCCCTTAAGGCGGGGAAGTATACGGGAGACGTTAATTTTGTAGCATGTAAGTCGACATGTTGGTTTCTTTGAAATTTCAAGCCACACAGTCACCGAAACGAAACATACAAATCATGTGAAATGTGCGTGAAATGTTGATGTTTATCTTTTCCAGCAATAAGAGATACTTCAAAATCGTCTTGCTTTTCTGAGGCTTTGACACTTTTCGTAATGCTGATAACCCATGAAATTTGTTCATTTTGTTTTTAAAAGAGCTAAAAATTATCCTTTTTCGCTAAAGTTAACCGGTCTATATTTTGTAAGAATAAACTATTGCGCATTGAGCGATTATCTCCTTTAGCTATAGGCGTAGTATAGAAGTGATTAATTCACGCACTGACCTTGCATTGCTGTAGATCGTATCTTATTCAAGCTGTATCACTGAGAGTGAGTGATTATCTCCCTTACCCAAACAGCTCAATTGCGCACTACCTTTACAATGTATCGTATGTTATTCAGGCAGCCATCGAGAAACGTACCAGGAAGGAATTTAGGCCAAGCCTGTCACGCGCACTCAATTTTAACACTGCTTTTGCAACATATTGTTCAACACGATTAAATAACAGGCTTCTATAAAGTATGACTTTGTTCAATAAACAACACATGTAAAACAACGGGTTTGATATGAGAAATGTTTTATTGGTTGTCTTCATAATCACATGTATGGCGCTTGCTGTGCATAGTTGAGCACCGAGCGAACCGAGATTCAAACAGTCTGTCATAGGTTTCTGGCGTGCCCAAGGGACACAGCTCTGCATAGCGAATTGCAGCGCCTTCGGCGACTGGGCCAACCATATCCCCGTAAACAACTGTAAGAAACTGTTATACAACAAATATGTTTTAGATGAGATGTGTATTGCGGAACATTCCATGAAGAAACAGTGGCAATATTGCACAATCACAAACTACAAAATACATGCAAAATAAACGACAATTAAAAAACACAGGAACATTCAACATTCAAAAGAGGTACATTATAACAATTTAATTTCTAAAACAAGTGTATTATAATGATATGGAAACAATATGAGAATTGAGCAAAACTATGGTAATGTTGTACATACGTGTACAAGGAATTTGTTTATAATTGTTGATATGTTAACAGATCTTGGAAGTTGTTTCTGGACAACTGTTGGTAAACGTATTAAGAATCTGCTCCTTTTAATAGAGTGTACCAAATTCTTTATCATGATTGGGGATTATTTGTGATTCTCTGTCTTGGTTGTATTATGTAAGACAGTGCGTAATGTTGTTCATCTTCTGAGACATCACATGTTTCACAGAGACGTTGTTCAAATGGGGTTGTATTTTTGTATATGTACAATTTTTTCAGTTTTCAGCTTGTGATTACTTAAACGAAGTTTTGAGAAAAGTGACCTATGGCCTTTGTTTTTACAATATGTAAGATAATTCTCAATATTTATAGATAACGTGACCAAACTGTATGTTCCTAACTTGCTGCTAGATGAATGGGAATCCATTAATGATTGTGTGAAATTTTACAATTGAACTGAAGTATATATAGAGTGGATTCATTACATTTTTTGTGTTTACTATTTTAAAAGTTTGCTTTATTTAACCCAACCAACATTTTTACCAGAAATATTGATGTTTGCTGCAAAAGCATGCTTTAGAATGACATTTGTTGTGTTATCTTTATAGGACTTTTTTTATTGGTACTAATAATGGGATCCAATCAAGTTTTGCCTGACAGGCCCAGTTTTCTTGCCTGGGTTTTCTTTGTGCAGACCAATTAAAGACTCTTTTATTGTGCTTTCCAAAGATAAGTACATTAATAACAACCAATTTGTACTTTACACCAATTCTATCCTCCCATAGCTTACACTTCCTTCCTCTGCACATAACATTATATGGCGGGGAGCTATTGATGCTCTGCAGCAATCTCTACTTGTTCAAATACACTGTCTGCTAAATAGAATTACACATGATCATACCGACATATCATTTCAATGTAACGATTGATAAATAGAGAATACTACACTCATTCTCGTTAGATACCCTTTTTACGAAACGAGTGGACTTTCTATGGTATCTGACCGAGCGAAAGCGAGGTCAGATACCATAGAAAGTTCACGAGTTTCGTAAAAAGGGTATCTAACGAGAATGAGTGTGGTATTTTATTTATTACCCTCGTTAAAAATATATTTAAGTGTAAATACATAACAACTTTCGTTCGTTCACAGACCAAACTGAAACCGGTTGCAAAATCTGGTTGCGCATGAATATTGATATATGACCAAATATGGGCATTGTTGACATGTTTATGCATACGCATTAACAACATGCGCCTGCTATTCTGTTTGCAAACAAACCAGCACCGACGCTCAAGATCCTTTTGGAAGAAAGTCTTCAACTTATGGTAATTCAAGCGCCATGTTGTTAGTACGCGCTTTGAATATCGGACCAACAGTCACACGCATCACACTGCCGGGGTCCCGTCTGTGCAATCAAAATGGTTCGGTTTCCTTGATCTATCAGCTGAATTTATATCATGTCCGTACCATTTTGGAAGAGGTAAATCAGACTGTTCGCCAAAGACATTCACGTTAACTGTACCACCCTATATACTGAAGACGTGAAAATCAACAAACTCAAATCTGCTTGCATGTCAGTGACAGCTTCGAACGATCGAAGGGCAAGGTCGCCACCAGAATAAGAAAAGACAACCGCGATCCACTCACAGCGTTTTACGCTAACTGTTCACATTTGGGATGTCTGGGGCCACAAAATCAGAAGTCAAGCACACCTTCACGGAGTTTTCGAATGATTTGTATCGGAACTATGAACTTTAAGTGATCTGGTCGTGCTGTCGTGTTCGTTCATTCATGAACAACACCTCCCGAAACAGCGCCACAAAATACGCTCCAAGGGGGACATCGATGGCACAACCGGATCATCCCAAGTAAGTCTAGATATCTGTCCAGATAGTTTAAACAGACTTCATTCACCACGCCTATCCTTTTACGTTAAATCAAATTGAAAGTTGCGAAAATGGTCGGGTGCGTCAAGCTCAAGGGACGCGCTCGATCGGCAGTCGTACATTGTAAATCGATTTATAGATCTAGCTCGATTATATATTTGAAGGACCTCTATGCATAACTTATATAGAATGCAAACCGAATTTGATGCGTGTGACCATCTTGTTTGGTTTAATAAAGTGTTTGTAAATATCTCTCGTTCTCATGAATTTCTTCAGTTCTGCCTTGTAATCGCAAAATGAATGACGTCTCGCGATTTTTTATGAATTAAAAAAGTAGTCCCGGTGTGACAGAGGTCACGGTTATCCAATCAAAACGAATAAAACAAGGTCAACCTTGTACGACACACGTGTGACGTACGGATTTAGTATCTTACCACCTGTATCTTCACCACGTGGGTAATAATAATTATTATGGCATTAGTACCAAGTCCAAACCTAGCATGGGCTTTACCGTCGACTTGTCGCTTAATGTCATTATCGCAGCCAAGTCACGGGGATCGCCAAGAATGTGCTTCACACCCCCTGAGGAATCAAACCCGGGCCTTCGGCTCGACTTGCTAACGTTATAGACACTAGGCTACCCCACTGCCCTATGTAGTCCCTCTTTAAGTTAGTCTCGTCGCTTCAGCCTTTCGACATAACAAATGTCAAATCTGGTTTGAAACGTTGTATATTTCATGAATGCAGGTGTTCGCCAGTATTGTCACGTGACGAGTTAAACAATCGTGCCTCACTTCCGCTGCACGAGTTTTTCATGCGCGTGAACTTAAAGTCCCGATTCCATCAAAGGAATTTTAAGCAGACGTGGAATTAACCACTTCACCATGTCGAGTTTATAGGAAACGGGTATTTTTATAATCAAGATGAACATCGGCTCCGACATTTATTGATGTTTCTACTATTTTCGCGCTGCAACGATTTTCTGTCTATAGACTTTTTGAAATATTGCTTTGAAATTTGCATGGTGGAGGTTGTCTTGCACGGACATTTTGTGTGCGAATTCCTGTGATTTATGAAATAACTTTGAAAGATAAGTTCTCGCGCACGTGTTTGTGGGTGCGTGTGTTTGAGCATGCGTGCGCGCGTGTCCG